AAAGAGTAAAACTGAAACTGGAAAAAAAACCATAAAATTATTTATATATGTATGTATACAGTATTTATGTATTAAATATATATGTATGTGGCCCCAGTGTAAAATGAGAGCGACACCTGGTCTAAAGTTCATCTGTACGACAGACTCACTGTGAAACGCCTCGTACATTTTGTCCAAGTGTGAAGCGGTCAGCTTTTGCCATGTACTTGGTAAAGTAACTTATACTGAGTCACTGACAGCTGGGATGATGATGATGATGATGATGATGATGATGGTGATGATGACGACCACAGTGAAGATGATTGCAGGCTTCGCAGGCTGTGACCAAAAACCACCTGCCTGTCACTGTGAAACGTGTTTTTCTGTCTGCTTGAATTTCAGTTCCTCTCCAGAACTGACGCCGAGAGCAGACAAGTTGAACGCTGGAATAAGTTGTCAGTTCCTGAACTTCGTGTTGACCAGTCCCACAGCCACGCCCAGGGACTTTACAGTATCACAGTAGCCTCACTGTATTCACATGTATTTACCCTGCGTCAGGTTGCCACCTCCAGCATTGCCATGACTGCAAATTCTTGCCTGATTAAATGACTCCCAGGAGGTGTAAGGAGTTCTTGACGTGACCTGTAGATCAACCTTCACAGTTTCCTCCTTCTGTTTTTATGAGCAGGTTTTTTTTTCCTCCTCTTGGGCCTAAACCTGTGCCACTGACACTCCTCTCTCTGGATGAATCTTTATCTGAACGATAGGAACACGTCGGCTGATGTTTCCCACGAACACCTTCTTGATTTCTCTTAAGATAATTAACACATTTCTCTCCAGTCGATACTATTAACTAACAAAAACAACTTTTTCTACTGTTTCTAAATCATGTTCAAACAGTGGCCTGAGGACCATTTGTGCCCTTCAAATGGTTTAGATTGGCCACAAACACTTTGTATTGATCCATTAGGGTTTGATCCAGCAATAAATCCTGAGATTATTTTAAATATATTTCAGGGCAGTTTTTCTCATGTATGTTTTACCATAACTAGCTAATAACAATTATAGCTAACTTATTATTTCACTTGGCGTTAAAAGTTGAGGCAATATATATTATACACTGTTAAAAATATACATATATTAATATGTACATATACATATATTACATATATTAATACAGGAGTAGACGTTGGTTTCGAGGTCAAATAACTGACTCCGGGGCCCCTGGGTAAAACGACTAAATAAAAGTAATCCATTCACAGTGTCACAAATGGACAACGTTCCCGTGTCTCTTCACTGCTGTGCTGCTGTGAGGCCATTTTTGAATAATGAATATCTCTGACTGGCAGACCTTTCACTCTCTGCCTCGTTTTTGTGTTTGTTTGTCATAGATGTTGTTAAGTGCTGTCTGTTTGGGATGTGGACGCTTGTACCCTTGTCTGTCTCGCCCTGTCAGTGGCCACTGTTCTATTTTCCCATGATTCTAAATAATAATCACTTACAACAGAGTCTGCTCACAAAGACTGGCGTGAATAAAAGAGGCAGAGCCAGTGAAAAGAGAGCAGGGCTTGTTGCGCGACCACCTTTTGTGTCCTTTTCTTCCAGAGCTCTTCTTTAGGAGACAAGAAGCCATCTGCCTGCAGACAAAGCATGCAGCCCAGTACCCCCCCGACCCCCACCTCCCCTCCCCTTCCTTCAACAACCCAAGTCTAAAATATCTTAGAGTGCTCTATTCCTCATCTGTCCCCTCAGACTGTGCCGTCGAGCTAAATTGCACAGTATGGTATGTCCAAGTCTTTTCAAAGAATGTCCACCACAATGACAAATATCTTCACCTGTCCTGTCACTCCTGCAGCCGTCGGCCTGTTTACTGCCTGCAGACAGCACGGACAAAAAGAAACGACTGCTATACAAAAGGCCAGAGGCAGTTTGGTTTTTCTTCTTCTTTTCAAAGTTGTCTGTTAGCGTCCAGTCCTTTTATTGTCCCTCAGCTTTGTACTTTCTGATTGGAGTCTTCATACGAGCACTTCATCGCTTCACTTTTATTTTCTGACCATCTCTGTATATTTTTTTTTGCCAGTTTTGGGCCACAGGCCATATGTTTGACAACCCTGGACTAGTAAATCAACGACCACTTTTTTTTGTTATTTATCATTTGAGTTTACACTGAGTTGTTAAATGTCAATAACTTCATTGTTCACACTGTCACTGCACATTCTGGACCTAAAGTCCAGTCATATGTTGTCAGCTGGAACCAAGTCAGATGTTTCATGTGATGTTTATGTGCTCACTGCTGTTTCTGTGGCCTCTGTTTGAGAAGATTTATGCTGGATTAGAGGAGCAGCCGACCTCGTGCTGCATTTCTGTTGTTTACAGGGAAAAATTATGGGCAGAAAATTTAGCGTGGAAGTCGCAACAAGAGGCAAAACACTACACACTCGCAGGCCTGCAAATGACTTCCAATGGGATTCAAATTTGGATTTAGCAGCAGTGGGATTATTTCCCTGTGTAGAGATTAAGGCACTAATCCCTCCCAGTCCGAGTTGATGGTCTGGCACTGCTGGCACTCCTGGACAAATGATTATGAGCGGTTTGTGTCGTCTGCAGTCAGGGAGTCTGGCCGGAGTGTGGGGAATACCAGCTGGCATAGCTGGAGGTCATGTTCTGTTTGAATAAGGGAGAGCGTCTCCGTTTGGTCAAGCCACAGATTCTTGCCTCCGTCCTTGAGCAGGACTGGTCAGGAGCTCCAGAGCCGACAACTGACAGGAGAGAAGTGGAGTTCATCCAGGCGGCAGCGTGCTAATGGGAGTGTGCTCCGAGCTCTAAAGGCAGCGCCTGCTCTATTGATCCTGCTTCACAGAGCTGTTGAGCTGTGAGAAGTGGTCCTGACAGCAGCGACCGCCCTCGCTCTCAACCTCCTGGCCCTTCCTCATTAGGGACCCTGTTCTTTCTCTCTCTTTCCTTTCTGGGCGTGTGAAAGAGGGCCATTGTGTTCAGGCACACTCCTGCCCTCTGGCCGTCCACCATACCGGTCCCGTTCCCCCTGCTCTTCTTACTCTCTGCTGCCGCTGGATGATCAGCAGATGCACAGTCGACCTCGTGCTGCCTGTCAGCAGTCGCTCTCCCGGGTCAGAGGCGACTGGAGCGTAGCTGCTGCCTCTGCGCTGGTCGCGCAGCGCCCACATCTGTTCTCCACATCTTTCCTAAGAGGAGTTTGAGAGTGTGTGGGATCCTGAGCAGTCAAGCATGGAGGCTGCAGAGAGCAGAGGAGATATAGTTGGGAATCTGATTACACACAAGGCTAAAAGACAGGAGCGCAAGCAGCACGAGCTGCTGGCTCTGGCTCTGGGAGTCAAACTGGGAAGCAAGGGAACTCTCCTGTGGAAGCCCATTAAACTGTTGGCCTCCTGTCCACAGATCACTTCTCCTCTGGTGCGACGGAGTGCCTTGAAAGACACGCCGGAGAAGCAGTGCTCCTACGAGAAGATCCACAACTTTAAGGTGAGCAGTTTATATATCTATATTATAAAGAAATCGTATTTTTACTTTTTGTTTTTTTCAGCAGTTTTTTTATATATAAAGTGAATTTGTAAAGTTAGTGAATTGACCTTTGATGTATTTTTGTCTGCCTCAGACGTTTTGATCTGCATCTGCCTGGACCACAGTGTGCACAGTGTTGCTTTGAAGGGAACATATACAGCTGACATCCATATGCATTGTGGGGGAAACAGCCCATTAACTGCAGTGCACGTCGATTTACTTTGATTTGAGAGCTTTTAAATGTATTTTTGCTCCAGGCCTCTGGTGTTGTCAGATGGACTGAGTGCTGACTGGAAGACACAAGACTTACGGCTCCTAAAATATACAAAAGAGAATTTGGGGATTCTTTGCCTTTGAGTGCCTCGACATTCTTGTAATTGTATCTTAGGTTTCACTGAAGGCAGACCATAATGACCCCCGCAGCACTCTTCTCTTCTGAAAAAACTAATAATAAAGGACAAAAAAAGCTCCCACTCACCACCTGCCATATGCCCTCTTCACTCTCCACTTTAATACCACCTATTCAAAGTAGCACTGAAGGTGTGCGTACTTGTACTTTAGTGGAGACTCTTGAGATTTTTTTACAACTTGAAAGGTTGAAGACCAGGTTTATGCTCAGCATCAGAATTAAGATTTGAGCTGATGTTAAAATCATGGACTGTATATAAAAAGTGGACAAAGTGACAAAGTGTTTTTAGGCTGTGGTGGCAGACAGGAGCTTCAGATGTACTGTTGGTACTGTACTACCAGAAGTAGATCTGTACACATGTACATACTCACTAATTGGATGTCAAGTGGGCTGGACCACTACAATCATAACATAATTAACTATGAATAACAGGTCCACGTTTTTCGGACTTAACATCTTAGCGGGTCAGTTTTGGCCCACAGGCCATATGTTTGACACCCCTGCTTTAAACTATTGTTTACATACAGTAACCAAAGAGACTCTACTAAGTAGGATTTACAGTTTTGGATTTGTGTCATTGTTTCACTGAAGAACAGAACATACATTTTTGAACATAGATAATAAAAAACTATGATGTGTTCAAATGTTGCTTGAGCAGTTGTTGTTGTTGACAAGAGTAAATACTTTCCTGTCAATCACATGGTTCCTTCAAAGGTTTCATGTCTTCTTGTAAATACTTTCCTGTCAATCACATGGTCCCTTCAAAGGTTTTATGTCTTCTTTAATGGAACATGAGGCCATGTTTTATTTTTAACATATATAATTTCACCAAATATGTCCCTGTTAAGAGAACATGATGATTAGAAGTAAGGAAACATAAGTGGATAATAGGAGCCTGTTGTCATGGGGACATTCCATAACATCTTCCATTGACTTTACACATAAACCAAATGGGCTCTTTTGTCCAATGGTCTTTAGTTATTTCAAAGGGCTGAAAACTGTTTTCAAAACACCTGAATGTCCTGACCAAGACAGAATACCTGTATGTGTGTGTAGGTGTGTACATGCAGGTGTGGCCCCATTTACCATCCTATCTGTGTTTGTAGATAGAGCAGGACAGTGGGTTTGCAGCTGTAATGTTGACTCACAGACTTCCTCCTGCGCTCGCCGGCGTGATTGTGTTTACCCAGCAACACATTATAATAATCCCTTAAACCTGCCTTAAATACACAAACTGCTGCCTTTAGCGCAGGACCACAGCAGCAGCTCTGTTCAAGAGTGTTCAAAGACAGCGTCTCTGGTCCGGCGTGGACATACTGCAGCTTTGACTTGTATCACACTGTGTGTGTTTGTCTGACCATATGTCTCCTTCTCCAGGTACATACCTTTCGAGGGCCGCACTGGTGCGAGTACTGTGCCAATTTCATGTGGGGCCTCATCGCCCAGGGCGTCCGCTGCTCAGGTGACCACGAACGCTAACATCTAAATAACACGTCAATAAATTCCTAAGACGAGAATTGCGTAAGATGTATAAAGATGTGTTATGTAAGGAGTGTAAACCGTGGCTAACGCTGTCCTGTCACGCATGTTTGATTGTCCAGGCGGAAATACATTCATTCATTTGAGTCGCTGCTTGTGACAAATGACATTAGCGCCTCCTGTCAGGATTCCATCAAACATTCCTCAAAAGATGGTACATGATTAATGGATAATAATAATAAAAAAACGAGGAATAACTGATTTAAATCATGTTGACTTGATGCAAGACTTGATGCGACGGTTGTCATCGTTTCATCCACTTCTCCTCAGCTGCAGCTGCAGCCTGAGATCCTGTCTCTGAAATGTTCCTCCACACCCCAGAATGTACTTAATATTTATAGATCACCTCACCATCTGTACTCAGTCCTTTTCGCTGCAGCTCATATTTTCTACACATAAGTAACACGTGTTCGGCTGCCTCATTTTTTCCTTTTTTTACCTTGAGAAACAGACTCCTGTTTCTGCTTACGAAGATTTGTTCATCTTCCACAGTCACAAGATGCGTTCAGCGATCAGATAGTTCTGAACCTGTTGTACTCACGGCCAGTTTCAGCCTCTCTTTTAATAGAATGTTTGTTGTTGCGGCATTTGCTATGCTGATAAGCCAGAGGCGAAGAGCGGAGTCATCAGACACCTCGTGTGCTCTGGGAAACAGGAAAGAGTTTCTGTCCTCGTCCGCGCTTCGACTACGCTCTGGTTAATCAGACGAAACTCAAACCAACTCTGTGATTAATAATTACAACTGGAGTTGGTATTCAGCTAGCGTTGGCCGCTCTAATCTTATATCTTATAATCTCTGCAGCCGCTCCACCAGACACACACACACTTTTTCTGGCAGCTGTCTAGCACGCTCCATGTAACCAAACCTACATCAGGAGCCCCCCCCCCACCCCACCCGGGCTGCTGTGATGGCTGTTATCTACCTCTGGTGCAGTGCACTGACACAGCTAAGCTGTGGCTGTGCTGTCTGACAGTGCAGTTAATCACTGACTCTGGGAAATGCTTTTAAGCTGCTGTTTGTAGCTTGTTGTGATGTTTCTGTTATCATCAGTCTGCTGCTAATCTCTCTCCCTCTCTCTCTCTCCCTCCCTCTCTCTGCCTCCCTCTCTCTCCCTCCCTCTGTCAGATTGTGGGCTGAATGTACACAAACAGTGTTCCAAACTGGTTCCGAGTGACTGCCAGCCGGACCTGCGCAGAATAAAGAAGGTGTTCAGCTGTGACCTCACCACGCTCGTCAAAGCTCATAACACGACGCGGCCCATGGTGGTGGACATGTGTATTCAGGAGATAGAGCTGAGAGGTACAACACTATTCATTACTTAACACAACAGACCCAATGATCTACCCCCAGGTAACACGTGACTCCACAGCGTGATCAACTGGCGGCTCACGGGTGCCAGAACTGTCCGATCTGGATTCCAAAATTGGGAAACTCAAACAACTACTGATACTTAAATCACTCTCAGTAATCCCCACCATTTATGACTGTATGAATTTTTTTTGTGAGTGTTGGGCAGCTGGTACTGCTTTCTAGACCTACAGTGTTTTTCCTTGTCGATGATATCATCGGCATAGCATTTGACTTTTAGCAAAACTGTTAAGGTTTTTAGAAAATTAGGATTTATTTAATTGCAATTAAAAATGAAATCTTCTAAATCAGATATGGGCGTATGGCCTGTGTACCCATCCTTAGCTTCTAAGCTAAGCTAAACAGTGAAAATTATTGTTGTTGCTTAAAAAGACCAAATTCTAAAGACCAAGAAGCATAAAGTATTTTATTGTTTTTTTTCTGCAGGTATGAAATCAGAAGGTCTGTACCGAGTGTCTGGCTTCTCCGAGCACATAGAAGACGTGAGGCTCGCGTTTGACCGAGGTTTGTGGATGTAACATTTCGTTGCCTTGGATTGAAGTCTTTTAGATGTCAGTTCTTGGGTTCACCATCTTGAATGAGCAGCTTGTTCCAATCCCAGCACTGACTTGAAAGGAACTCTTTGTTATTTTCTGTTTACACACAGGCAGCAGGGGCTTATACCCAAAAATGTAAGTAAAAATAACATAATTAAAAGATTTATTTCCTATCAACAGATGGTGAAAAGGCAGACATTGGTGCTGCGGCGTATGCAGACATCAACATCATTGCCGGGGCTTTGAAGCTGTACTTAAGGGGCCTTCCCATCCCTGTCATCCCTTTTGACTTGTACTCCAAATTTGTTCAAGCTGCGAGTAAGAGAATTATTCCACACAAATACACGCTGGTACTGTGTGACTCGTCTGCGCGCTGACTCCTGTGATTTTGTGTGATGTAGAAATCCCAAATGTGGAATCCAGACTGGAGGCCATTCATGAGAGCCTGCTGCAGCTCCCTCCAGCACATTACGAAACCCTACGATACTTGATGGCTCACCTGAAGAGGTACAGTGTCAGTCCGAGGGCTGAGACCCATGGCTTTCAAACGCCTTTTTATTAACACACACATATAGCTCTGTCACACTGCTGCTGTTTTGCTTCATTCCGACAGCAATTTATTAATACACAAGCCAGAGCAGGAAGTACATTTTTTCAAAATGACGGGGTTTTTTTTTTTCCATTTCCGCAGCATGTTTTGGATGAATATCAGGGCTGTTTTATCAAATGTTGGGGGAATAAAAGCCTTATTTTCTTACAGTATTTCTGGATACTAGGGACACTGTCGGGACTTTCCAAAACACATTTTTAGGTTTTAATATGCTATTTTGGCTAAGCTAGCTTTAGCATTTTTCCAATCATGCCATATTTCTCCATTATCAGTCATTTTAGTGTCTGTCTTTACGTATTTCATTACTTATAACTAAAATATGTGAAAAACGTCTTTTATGTAAAGACTCTTCCTATATTTATTTTCCAGAGTGACGATGTTTGAAAAAGACAATTTAATGAGTGCCGAGAACCTGGGGATTGTGTTTGGTCCAACGCTCATGCAGCCACCGGAGCAGAACGCCTTGACAACCCTGAATGACATGAGGCAGCAGAAACTTGTGGTGCAGCTAATGATTGAGAATGAAGACGTCTTATTCTGAGGACTGAGGGCCTGTCGTGGCCCGCGGCGTGCTACGAAGGACAATTATTTATTCTGTCGAGGAGGAAAATCGAAGCCACCTCGATTCTGATGAAGTTTCACAAGATTTTGTAATCAAATTAATCTTGAGGCGCTTCTCTTCCCGCATGACTGTTTTTGTTAAAGTCGGTCTAGTGTTGACTTTGTCTCGTTACCGTCAGTTTTGGGTTTCCATACTCAGCCGAGACCATCGTTTTTATACTATGGAGTGATACAGAGTATTTGATAGTGTCAACAGTGCTGCTCCCTGTCACTACCTGGTGTAGACTCAGTCATGATGACAGCACTGTGTGAACTCTGCCTCAGGCAGACTGTCAGTGTCTGACAGCCTGGTGCTGCATAAACCAAGACTCACAGCAGCACAGACCGCAACGATGTTCGTTCCCTATTGTGCATATACGTCATATACCTTTTTGTTGGAACGCTGGCGAAAACTTTAATACAAGTCCTTACATTGTACATAAAATCAGATCATGTGATGATCAAATCTTTTAACTGTGTGTACTTAAACATGAGATGTGAGACAACCAGTCGCTCATTAAGCACTTTTTTCAGGCAAGTGTAAAGATTTATTTTGTAAAAATGTTTATTTTTGTCTCTGCATCCTGTTCTGTCACAATAATATATACAATGTTGAGAATGTTTTTTGTCGAGAATGATGTCTAAAAAAATGAAAAGAGTATGAAAATAAGTTTCTGTAGTTTGTTTTTATTTGTAATGTTGGCAGTGGTTGTTTACTTGGCCTTACTGCAGAACACTGGCTTTCTTTTTTAGTCATTACAAGCTGTTATTGGACAATTTAACTCAGCTGAGATTATAACCCTCTTTTTCCTGCCTGTTTACACCATACATCTCACAGCTTGCTGCACACATCAAACACAACATAGAAGTAATCGAACAATAGATGGATGAGAAAAAAATCTCTGTTCAAAATATTGTAATTTGGTGAAACCCACTGAGATGTTCACAGTAACGTGATCACGCTCTCACTACTGTGAAAATGAACTGGTTCACACAGGAGAGAGGCCCAGCCCTTTGCTAGTGCTGACTGGTTGTAGCCTGCAGCAGGGAATCACAGGTATGTGGTTTGGTTTGTTTGTTTTGTATTTTGGTTTTGTGACAGCTGTTGTCATATCAGTGCTGATCTAGCATCTCACGTGGATTAAAACCTTCCCACTCCTCACGTTTTACCTGTACGTGGAGTTTTGTCAAACACCACATGACGAAATATAATTTTGAAAAATACAATTATTTCCCAAAGAACTAACAGTTGTACTACATCTATGACAGACCAAATACAGTTAAGCAGAAAGAACAAATACCTTCATCCATAACAGTCTTTTTACTAAAGGAATTTACCCACGTGGAGATTAAGATGAATGTTGAAATAACTAGTAGTTTGATCAGAAGATAGAAGTATTTTGTGTGCAATCTTAAAAACGAATGTCACCGAGTTTGGTGTAGCGGCTTACGTACTGAAGTACAACAGCGCCCACTAGCGGGTAATTGAGATATGTACAAAAACGCCCATCATCATTTCTGGAAAAAAATTTTTTTATGAAAGCATCAACATTGTATCAATACAATTAGGGTTTGCTTGTTTTATGAAAGCATCAACATTGTATCAACAAATACAATTAGGGTTTGCTTTTTGTATTGTGTATTGAAAAAGGTAAAAAAAAAATTGCAATCTTCAACACATCTGTGGTGACAGTTTAAGTCCATATGCTTTGTTAATAAATATATCACGTTAAAGAAAATGAAAAGAATGGACCCTATACATTCAAAGATGTCCATAAACCTATGTAACAGATTTGTGAGAGAATTCATAAAAATACGAATCAGTCCTTTAGAGCTCATCGTGTTGGTAGGTGAATTCTCTGGCAGATATAAAACCATCCTTATCTTCATCTTCATTTTTGAAGATGTCTTCTACCATTGCGTCATGATGTGTGTCATTGGGCGAGTATCCGTGTTTCTGAAATTCCTTCCTAATGTAATGAAGCACCTGAAATACACACAGAAAACAGCACAATTTATGCTGTGAGCTGTTTAAAAAAACATATTTGTGACGTTGGTGTCTTCCACACCTCATCTTTAGACAGCTTCCAGTCATCATTGAGATCCATCTCCTGAAAAGACTCGTGTGATCTGGGCCCATTTCTGATCTCCATGAGCTCAATGTCAAATATCAGAGTGCTGTCTGGAGGGATCTTGCCTGTAGCAGAACATTAAATGTGTATAATAAAAAAATAAATAAAATAAAAAATTATATGACAAACACTAAGATCATGTGACTTCACCTTTCCCTTCTTTGCCGTATGCCAGAGATGGCGGGATGGTCAGTTTCCTGCGCTCTCCTGTGCACATGTTCTGCATACCTTTGTCCCAGCCTTTAATCACCTCTTGGATCCCAAGAGTAAACCATACTGGGTTTCTATCTCCTTCGTTTCGGCTGCCAAAAGTCAAGAATTATCCACATGAAGTTGATTTATTAACATAATAACAATGGACAATTTATGTCCAAGCAAAGTTGAACTACAATGAAGTAGTACTTCATTTCAACCACATAACACACACATAATTGAAGCCATAATTGCAGTGTTTTTGACCTCTTAATTTTATGTACCTCTACATTGTCCTACACAAACGAGATTCCCCTGTGCATCTCTACAGAAAGTCCAAGTACCACTTGTGATACTGGTAACATTGAGATTGAGGTTTGAGAACCAGTATCTTGAATAATCAATTCTGTTATTTATAGTATTTGTACATTTTTGTGTAGTTTTTTTGCATATATAGAAAAATACACATATTTTTGCTTTACATATTGAAACGTGTATTTCAAATTATTGCGATGCACATTTGTTGCATTAAACAGTGCTATAGCTAACCTGCACATTAAAACATGCAAAATAACGGTGTTAACTAATGTTACCTGGAGTGAAACATGGTGCCGTTACTCTCCAAAAATCCATCGTAATGAACGAGAAGCATGTCTCCATATTTAGACTTACGGTAACACATTAAAGGTTTGTTTAAAACTTCTATTTTCACCTCTGGCTCGGGCAGTTTGCGTCCTGTGGCAAACACAAAAAACGAGGGGAATATCGACAAAATAGAAAAGAGATACATTGCCAGGGTCTATATCTGACAGAAGTAAACGAATTCTTTAAATTTTTCTTTAAAATACTGCTCCTAAAATAACCGCATGACAAAAAAATGCCAACTACGTGGCAGCCAACTTCAGCCCAAAACACAGCACTACTGTTGAAGACAGCCGGTATTCCTCCTTCAACGATTCGATAAATGTAATTTAGACCCGCCTTCTATGTCTGAAGCTACCACGTTTGATTGGTTGTTAGGTATATTAATATTTGAAACCACACCCATAGTACATTATGCTTCTGACGTCATGGGATAAACAGCAATAACGTCGGTAAGGCTCTATTCACGGAAGGGTTTACGTAGTTTTTTGTACTTGAAATGTAAAGTCGCTGCTGCTCGGCAAAGCTCACAGGGCCCCCGACGGACGTCGCTGCAGTCAGCTGTGCGTCTCACCATGTCGTGATAAACAAGTTATGAACGGCAAACGGCCTGATCATACAATGGAGGGAATATTGTACAAGTGGACCAATTATATAAGTGGTAAGTCAGCGTTACGATGTGTACGTGTTTTGTTTAAAGCACTGTTATTAGTGTCTGCTAGCCTAGCATGATAACACCGGAGCCCAGTGGAAATGACTGGAAGCTGACGTTAGCTTTGAACACTCCGACCTTTTTTTTTCAAAGCTTCTAACTTACTATTGTTTGCTTCCTATTCATACAGAGATAGCTAACAGTTAATTAACTGTGTAGTTATAATATTCACGTGACCTTCATGGGCAGGGTTAGCTAACTTAGAAGCTTCTACCATCTGTCATTATAATCAGATTTAAGTAGTTGTTACTCCATCGTAAGAGCCAAGTCTGTCCACAAGCAGATTTATTTTTTAAATATTATTAAGGAAACAGAATACGACACAATTTGACTAAACGGTTTAAGAATGTGTGAAAGCGCTTCCGTCAGTATAAACAACAAGTTTTGCATTTACTACTATATATGGTAATGTCAATTAAGTTGAGCTAAATCGCTGTAAACAATGAAGATTGTTATCTTTGTATAAATGTTAAACGTAACACTCTTGTCTTGATTTGATTAGTTATATTGTTATAAGAGGTTTATAACAGCTCACTTCTTGGTATAACAACATTTCTGAGTGAGGTGTTTTCAAACTGACTTTGAAAAGAAAATCACAAAATGGCAGTGTTGATTTTACTTTTCCAAATGCCTTCTTTTCAGGTTGGCAGCCTCGCTGGTTTGTGCTGGATGGAGGAACTCTATCTTATTATGACTCACAGGAAGATGCCTGGAAAGGTTGCAAAGGCAGCATTAAAGTTTCAGTTTGTGAAATTCAAGGTCAGTGTGTGGCTCAATTTGCGTTTGCGAAAAACACTTAAAGTTGCATGTAGATGGAGGGCTCTCAAACAGATCTCCCTGTTTCCTGCTTTGCCTCAGTTCATTCCTCAGACTCTACACGTGTGGATCTGACCATACCAGGAGAGCAGTACTTTTATCTCAGGGCCATCAATGCAGCAGAAAGGCAGAAATGGCTGGTGGCACTGGGAACGGCCAAAGCCTGCCTTACTGACAACCGAACAAAGAGAGAAAAAGGTTTCAGTGACACAACACCTTTATATGACAAAGCTCTTGTTGCGCAACTTCTGGTGTAATGCAATTCTCCCTCATTAAATGTTGACCTGATGACTGTTTCTATTCTAGAGCTTCAGGAGAACACAGAGGCGCTGAGAACTAAGATGTCAGAGCTCCGGTTGTACTGTGACCTTCTCCTTCAACAAGTAAACAGGATCAAGGACAATGATGAGCCGGGGGACACAGAGGAGGAGGTGAGGCTAGGATTCGGACGAACAACTGAAATAAGAGAAGTTGTTGTTGTTGTGAAACCTTAGTCTCTTCTGCCTGTAGCATGACATCAAATAGTTTGATGCTCAAGTAGCAATGTAACAGACAACAAGGAGTGAAGTTGGTCTTAAGGAACGTTTCTTAACCAACAACTCCTAATGTTCTTAACATAAGAAAAACCTAAAATCTCTCCTAAAATGTCTGAACATTGAGTTCTAAAAAATCTCTTAGTATAAGTATTACAATGAAAAAGAATAAGGTGATTTCTTTTATAGAAATTGTGGCCCCTCATTATGCAAACTGCACTAATGAACAGAAGATTCAGAAGTAAAAAACGATCTCCTTGAAGATCTCATTACTTTTTTATTTTCATCGTAGGCTGTTGTAGACAATGGAGACATGGTGAAGTCAACGTGCACCACCTTCCTCAAAACCCTGGAGGAATGTATGCAGATAGCGAACCGTACATTCAACGCTGATTTGGTGACACAGACTCCACCGGGATCTCCTCCAGTTGCATCCATCAAACCCCTGAAGGTATATTCAACTTAACACATGCTGCTACTATGATGTGGTTTAACCTCCTTAAAAATGTCAGCCAAAAAACTAATAAAATGTTCTCACTATGTACTTACAACAGATTAAACCTGTCAACCATCCAAATCATAACCTTACAGAAAGGTAGGTTACTGTTCAGTTTTCAGTTCAACTCTTATGTTGCATCCAAACAATGTAAAAAACAAACAAACAAACTTAACTATTGAAATTAAAATTCAGGTGGAGAGGTTCGTCTGAAACCTTAGGGGAAGCACGAGACAACCAGAGCCTCGACTCTGGAGCAGAAGGACCTGATGAACCAGGTCAACCTGAACAACATCATCTCTGCCCTTCAGGTAAGTCAGCTGGCACTGACACCTACTGTTTTTGCATTCCAATCCCGGAGGACCACACAGTTCCACTGAGGCAAGCTTGTTAGCCCGGAGCTAATAATCTGATACTCATCTTTACATTCATGCAAATGTAAAGCTGTAAACTGGACAGGGTGTTAGCTGTAGTAATTGATGACCTGCAAACTCTAAAACCAAAATAAAAGACAGAATGCAGCTGGGCAGCTTTAGATCCTGTCAGATCCTGTACAAATGTGTTGGTGATGTGAAACAGTAATTGTTTCTCTCTCTGTTAGGAGCAAAGATGAATCACAGCTGGGTTTCAGCTCATCTTAACTTAAGAAAAAGAAAGACTGACTCTAGTAAAACTTGTCCTCAACCAATTTTTTTATGTTTATCTCTTTGCAAGCACATTTAAGTCTCTTTCCACTTTCTTAAGATAAAATAAAGAAAACAAACTTGAAAAGGAAGACAGATTCAGTGGAATAGTGAATATATCTGTATTTTTGAAGCATGTAGGATGGAAATAGTTTTTACTGATCCGAATGTCTGTGTGATTGAACACAAATCGTGAACATTTGTTTCTTGTTTTTAAATACATAATTCCATAAATTTCCACACCAGGTAAACATTTTGGAACGTGTTACGTTTGCTTTTTTACCACTTTTGTGTTGCGACGGCCAATCTGTTTGTCTCCTGTGTTGTTCAGACACGGAACGGAGCGACGGCTCTGTCTGTGAGCAGCAGGTCCACTCACTTCAACACACCAAACTAAATGCATCTGACAATGAACACTACCACCAGCCAGCAGAGGGCGACGAGGGAAACAAAGCTGATCATCAGGAGCTTCAACAAGAGCAGAAAAGCAACAAGGAGGACCAAAACTCAGAATATGAAAAAAACAACAACAAGACAGTGAGTTGTTCTGTCAGAGACCAGGATGAAGAGGAGGAGGAGGAGGAGGAGTTCAGGGATTCAGCAGAACCCGAAGATACAGAGCAGGTGGAGACTTTCTTCAGCACAATGAGTCACAGGTACGAAAGAGCTCCTCTGGAAGGTCAAGTCCTGTAGAGCACCTCATGTTCCTCTGTGGCGTTTTACTAGAACAGTATTAGTTTAAGACATGTCGCTCTGTAGAGTGTAGTATTTTTTATCGATGAAGCACTGCACATTTTTGGTCGGCATATTGATTATACTGACACACTGTACTGACTCAATTAATTAAAAAAAAAAAACTTTGTTGAACATTTTTACCAAATATTTAGAATGTCATGATCAGTGTTTTGTAATTGTGTTCTCTCTCTTTCGATCACTTGACGTTGAGGGATCACATGGTAAAGTGTTACGCGAACTATTCTTGTTTTATTTTTCCTTTTACCACTTTTAAGAGTGTTACCTGGACAACATGCTAATGTGCTAACAGTATTTATGTCATTTTAACTTAGGAGAATTAACATTAGTGTTTTACTTTTATTCTTGTTGTTAAAATAAAGCGTTGTCTAGTCCAAGGGATTTCAAAGTCTAACAGGCCTTTCTCCAAGGAGCAAATTACCTCTCCCTGCCCTCCTAATCCACACCCCCGCACATTTTCACACATCAAGCACATGAACAAGCACAATCAGATGCAAACTGCCGACGCAAACAGTAGTGGGTGCGTTTTATTTTGAAAGGAAGACCATGTCTTGGTGCTGATTTCTGTTCCCGGCTGTTAGCACTGTGTGTTAATATGTTTCTACACTACAAATTGATTTAATAGAGAAGAAATGACTGTCCATGGTAGTTCGTGGCTGCGGCAACATTTATATTGTTCTATACGTAAACGGCTTCTCTAAACGTACTGGAAGATTCTTGATCGGACTTAACACAGGCGTCACGTTTCCTTTTTGCTTTCCCCTTCAAGCTCTCTGACGCCACCCAGGGCAGGCGTTCCTCGCACTCTGAAAACCCTTGGTCTAGTTTATTGTGCTGTTTCGTGTTCACTAACTAGACTTGGATTTAGACAATAAAAAACGAACAAAGGTGATTTGACTGAAGTTATAGCGAATGTAGCAGCTCTCTGCATGACACTGTGTGAATCATTTCTCTGACTTGTACTTTTGTCTTCGATCTCTGTTTGATTTGATCAAATAAATTGACCAGACGTATTCACCTCTAACATTTTACTCTGTTTGAATCTGTTCTACTTTTTTTTTTGTAGATTTAGTGATATAAGACTGGACGACGACAATGGTATCCCCACACAAGAGTTTTTGGACTCATGCTATGCAATAGTGCCAGTATTAGGTAGGATCTCATCTCAGTCTCAAACATGTTTCTTCTTCTCATGGTGTTCGTTCACATCCTGTTCAGGGAAAGGCTAATTACAGTACTGATATTTATATATGCATGTCAGTCACATTGTCTGTGATCAGTGAGGTGGTGGGTGACATTTATCTTTCCTCTTATGTTCTTTAATTGTATGTTTCTCAGCCTTTTTTTCTTTTACTGCATGGCCAGGTTTTTGGTGGTATTTAAGTAGTTGCATCTTTACGATGCACGTTTTAATCATCTATTTACATCTAAACAGACAATACTTTGGTGTAGGTTGTAACACAATATTTTATTTATGTTAAAAAGAACAAAACATGCGATTTATTTATGTTGTTAATGATGAAAACAGTAGATTTGACTCCACATTGTTTATCCACATTTGGCTAAATTTTAATGAAGTCTCTGGTGGTACTAGGATGGAGTTGAACATCATTTACACATGTGAGGCAGCAGGAGTAGAAGATTTCAAATTTGTTCCTATGGAGACCTCAAATACAGTACTGTGTAAATGGTTTAGTCAGGTGTATACGTTTACAATATTTCCCTTTTCTTGCAGCTTTTTTAAGTGATCAAAGTCAATGTGAAGGAGTCATATTGTGACTGAATTATATATTTTAAATACTCAAAGACAAAGACATGGAGTACATAAAATATTAAGTGTGCAAAAACTAATATCTTTTACTTCTGATATCAAATTTGGACAATATCTTTGATGGTTAATTATCTTAATATGTAGTGAGATATTTAAAAGTAAAACTTTTAAAGAGCAAGTGTATCAGAAATTGTTCGGCGAAATGATCTTTCCATTTCTGTTGTGATTCAGGATCACCTGCAGGAGAGACGATATCCTTGGTTTGTCAGCTGTTTAATAAACTAGACTGTAGTGACAGTATCACATGGTCTAAGATTAATTTTAATAGTAATACAAATAAGTAACAAATAAATGAAAAGCTAAGTTTCAGAAGCAGCAAAGAAATGATGTTGGACTCTTTCTTCTCAGACAAACTGGGCTCCACCGTCTTTGCGCCCGTAAAAATGGATTTTGTTGGAAATATTAAGGTGAGCTTCTTTCCGTAAACATACATTATTTTCTGAATAACTAAATCAATCATGAATGATATTAAGCTTAAAGTATGGTTTATCTTTTTTTATATTCTCTAATGTAATACTGTAGCCTGAAATGATTCCATGGTTTAGATATTTTTTCCTATGATTGACTCCACATCACTTCATTTTCACTGCAGAAAATCCAACAGAAGCTGAGGTCAGACCCCGACAGCTTCACCACACTACAGTCTATTGTGGTGCATGAAGTGGAGGCAGGTGTGGCTCAGGTGCGAAACTCGGCCACCGAGGCTCTGCTGTGGCTCAGACGAGGCCTGAAGTTTCTCAAAGAGTTTCTGTCACAAGTCAATGCAGGAGAACAGGACATTCACGGGGCACTGAGTGAGTGATGACGTGTGAAATGTCCTGTGTATTCATTTCCTTTAATTCGACCTTTAACACAGACCTTCTTTCCCTTAGATAAGGCCTATGGGAAGACGCTACGACAGTACCATGGATGGGTGGTACGAGGCGTTTTTGCTGTAGGTGGTCTTTTCTTTACTGATGCTGTTTTATCTTCTTAAATCAATCTTCCATATCTTCCATAATCAATCACATTTTACCGATTATTTTTATTTTTTATTCAAATGTGGTCTTTTCTCCTCCAGCTGGCTCTCAGAGCCGCCCCATCTTATCAAAGCTTCACCGCTGCCTTAGTGACCACAGAGGGCGACGAGCTGAAGAGCAGCTTCACCAGTGGTATGCACAGAGACCTGGGCGTTTACCTCCCTGCTATGGAGAAACATCTGGTTTTGCTGGACACTTTGTATGAGGAGTACAGCCTGGAGTCTGACGAGGTGGTTTGAGAGTCACATAAAAATTAAAAAGTCATAATTTCAGAGAGAGATGGAACTTGATGACAAGGACAGAGTCGCTGAAGGACGGGGCTAGACGGTGTCCAACCCCAGTTTGAGCTTGTCCTGAGTCAGTGTGAAGTGCTCCCAGTGTTTCCTGAACTGGTTGTCAGTTTGGGGCCAGGTGAAGGTGTTAATGTTTGTACAAGCCCATGGACAAATATGATTAAAACATTAACAATCAAGGTAAAAAATAGATTTCCAATCTATCTCATAAAGACTACCGATGGTGAAGGGCAACTGAATTCATGATGTCATGTGTCTCATCTGCCCAGACTGTGGCTATAGTGTATTGTGGTTTTTTTATGTATCGTACTTGTTCAAGTTACATGAACAATGTGATTCTAAAAAATGTTGGGTTGTTCCAGTGGCCATTATGTAACTTGAGCATTCTGAGCTAACCTTTAATATTTTAGATAATGTTTCACGTCCTGCACTGACATTTATCCTTGTCCCCTGTAATATTTAATGTAAATCCTGAGATTTTCACGTTGTATTTATTTGTTAAAACGTCGCTAGTTAGCTGACGCTGGAGAGACTATTTCAATGGGACCAAAAAATGTCAAATGCACATGAATGGCTTCTGTGGCTGCTGCAACAACAGACCAGTATGAACCAGTACAATGCCTCTGATACTGCTGAAAACTCACGGGAACATCCTCAGCACAAACCTATGCATTTTTACTACAGTCATTAAGTTCATGTTCACACCATTCTTGATTGTTTCAACATGGATTTGGCATGAATTCTGTCCCCATGCAGCATGTTGACAACTGCATGTTTTTGTTTAGTGAAACCATATGCCATCCGTTACCAACAGCAGCTGTATACAGACTTAGAAGTGTATTAACAATCACTGACTTTGCATCATTGTTAAAAGAAACATACAAAATAATTGATTTTTACGATATAAATCATTCCAATGATGTGCTATTTATTCTACATCATATAAAATCATACAAAGTGTCACTACCAGCTCTATGCAATCATGTGACCTCAGCTAAAAAAATGTAAGTGGCATCTTCAAATATAGACATGGATTCACCGAGCTAGCAGTAAAAATAAATGCAATTGACTCTTAAAACAAACAGCACTACCTAGTTTTCTCTGTCTATTAGATTTCTGTTGTATTGTCATAAATTCATTCATGAATTCTTTAGTGACAACAGCAGGTTTACATCACAGATGTGCAATAAGCCATTTACTCATTGTGGAGCTTGCAAAAATGTTGTTGTGAAGTCAAACATTTTTTTAATGAATAAATATGATGCTGTTTATAAGATATAATTATATTGTCTTTGGTGTTTGATTGACTCTGTTACAGTCAGGTTTTGTTTTTGTTGTTTTTTTGTTTGTTTTGTTTTGTATTATCATTCAGTTTAAGATTGTCTTTTGTGGTCACCAGAGACTCTTCCTGTCCCTGTGGCCTCCTCTGCATTGCTTTGTGTGCCACAGCTGTAAGAATATAGCAGCCAAGCTGCACTAACATAACCCCATTTGTTGGAAAAAGTCTCTGATTTCACTTCATGTAAGGACATGACAAAGCTGAAAATAGAACCTGCTGCCTGAAATGTCAATATACAGAACAGAGCCTTCCAAGTAACCACATGGTAAGTCTTCATTAAATAGTGTGCAGTACTTTTTGATAGTATACTAAGTATACTAGTTAGTTGTGTTCTTGGTGGTTTTTTTTTTAAATCTTAGGACAATTTGGGTAAATCTGAAAGGGTTAATAAGTGTTAAATGTGGATTCTGATTTACTCATGTTGAAATCTACACAACACAAAGTAATGTGCGATGCATAAGCTATAGTCAGAGATAAGATAAGTTAGTTCTGTGATGTACAGCAGGCTCAGGGAGCAGGGACGTAGCACTGCAGAGACTAGGGTCTGATGCAGGAAGTTTATCTACATCTAACCTCAAATCTATCCACTAGGGTCTGATGCAGGAAGTTTATCTACAACATCTAACCTCAAATCCATCCACATACAGAAAACTGGGATCAAGCAGAAACAAGCAGGAATATCAAAAACAGGCACAAACATCAAATCAAACATTGACCACACCATGAATGACATACACTGAACAGAAAAACAAGAGACAAACACTGAGTGAAGGAGAGAGGAGTATATATACCAAGGGCACCAGGTGACAGGAGTGAGACAAATGAGCAAGGAATCACAAGACACAGGTGAGTGTGATGACACTAATTAACTCAGAGAACCAGGCAGAGGGAAGGGAGACACACAAACCGAATACAGTTCTCTGTATTATAGCAAGGGATTGTGTACTTACACGTGTTGGACATATGCCTTTACATTAAACTGTGTGTAAATTGTATATAATTCTGTATTTTCTCAACTGAAGTCCTGGCTGAGGAAACTCATAATTATCATTTCTAGGAATATGTCTCCCCTTTACTAGGTGTGTAACAACAGCTCTTCAGGTTTAGGTATATAAAATATGTGCAAACACTCATGCTGAAAAGAACTTTGTTTGAACTCAAAGGTTAAAGTTCACTGGGGATTCCTCTGTGCGTTGAGCAGAATCCAGCTGTCCTCTGCATCTCCAACGACACCAGTGATTTACTCAGACGTTTGTGACACAAATCTGATTGAACTGGTTAAGAGGATGGATATAATGGAACAAATACAGCAAGGTAAGCTTTTACTCAGACATCTGTGCAGACAAATTGCCCTAATGTAATTTGGACAATAAAGAACAGCATGCTAATGAGGTTACATGGTCACATCCCGCCTCCAACATCTCTTCTCCAACTGTTGTTGGCTGTTCAACCCCAAACCTGTATCACTGTCCCATTTCCAGTTACATAATAAGCCTTTAGGGGTTTAAAGGATTTGTTCTGTTAAGATAAAAATAATTCAATGCAAAATCTGAAGGTGCTGGACAGCGTAGAATATGGTAATGTCTCTTCTCATTGTTAGAGCATATTGAATAGACGAGGAGTCACAATTTTATACAGACTTATATAACCAACAATGTGTGTTCATTTGTTGAACCAAGACATGGCAACAGTTAGCTAATTCAGTTTAAATGAAACTTTTATTACTGTGTTAACTATGCAGCATGTTTTATTTTATTATATTTTTATGTTATTATTTATTTTATTCTTTATTTATATATAGTGAAATGTTTCAGTCTAGGTGACAGAAATATTTGCTTCCTACTTATACTTGTATTGGTCTGTAAAAACAATGTGCAAGCAAAGGTGACAAGTGATTTTAATTTTAATTTTATTATTATCTTTTTAAAATAGTCCACAACTACTGTATAAATCATGACAAAATAATAAAACGAAGTAAAACTTCATAATCGCAGTCACAGTGAGTAATATAGTCTGTAAAGCCGTACAGTACAGTGACCACATGCATGTTATTTCAGCAGTGTTGTTCAATACACAGTACATATTACAGGCACAGACATTCCACATAGTATTTCGAACAGTTTTTCAGCCTTGTGCGTTGCACACTTCATGACTAAGGTTTGTCAAAGGCTATGGTATGTTTAGCATAAGGTTTCTTAAGACACCTGCTGTATGCTAATGGGTACAGTGACGTTACAAAACAGCGTTGGACAACATTGAAGCATTTCTCAATCAGCAGCACATTTACATGAACATGCGGAAACATTATATTATATAACAGTCTTAATTTTTCCCCCGTTGCTTTTACAGAAGAATTACCTGATTATCTACTGTAAGTATAACTGAGTAAAGGTCTCCCTTGGCACTGTGACTGATACAGTAGCTTATGAAGAATGTCAGCTTATATCAGAAAAACAACAAATCGTTTCAATCTTGGTGCCCAGCACTCGGCAGACTAACATTTACACTGTTAAGTTTAACTGTTGTGTTTCTTCTGCTGCTGTTTACACTGTAAGACAGAAAGATTGGAAATGAGGTATTTGAGGAAATACAATAATGACCATAAGAGAAGTGGAAATGAGACTCCTCTCCTCTGTAGCAGCTACAGACTTTGCCCGTCCTCCATGTGATGAGATGATTAAGAACATAACAGTTTAAGCCTTGGTGTACAGGATAAATATGGTTTCTCAAGGAAGCACAGAACAAGACACCCTGCAGTCGTTTGTGTTTTCATAAGAAAGGAGGTCTGTGAGTCTTGCTGCGTCTAGCAACATTACCTGTTGGTTCCTGAGAAGAGCTTGGATGTTATTGACATAATTGGTTGATAGAGTTCAGTTTTTAATGGAGCAGACTCGTGAGCACAGCCTCCTGCTCTAACAGTCTCACTCAGTACCGACAAGTGCTTCATTCATGCGTTATATTCACACTGATCTGACTCTGACTATACGCAGTGATGGGGTTTTTAATTTGATGAGGGATGTGATGCTAAATAAACAGAGTTTGAACCTTGTAATATGAGTTCAAAAACTGAGTTACAAGTTACATGCTTGGATACTGACAGTTGCTGCCATTGTCTTTGTGGATCCAGACTCATGCAAATGCTGTGCACTGGCACTCA